TCAAGTCATCAGACCCCTCCCTGAAGCCGGGTGGAGGGGGCAGCACACTCAGCCTGACCATGGCTTTCCTTCTGCACGGTTTCCCCTTTTCTTTTCTAGCTTTTCCCACGTCTGCTGCACCACCCACTCTGCACTGCCCACTCTGCACCACCCACTCTGCACCCGCCCACTCTGCCACCACCCACTCTGCCGCCCCTCTGCACCACACCACTCTACCACCCACTCACCACCACCCCCACTCTGCACCACCGTGCTTCCTCTTCCCAGGCAGACCCACTCTGCAGTCCCCGCGTGGAGGGGCCAGCGCTGAGGGAGGGCGGACTGACAGCAGGGTCTCTTTGCTGAGCACATACACACCGTATTGTAGGCATGCCTGTCAGTCCCCAGCTCGCCACTTTAAAGGGGGATTCTGAAGGGGGCACAGTCCAGTTCCTCTCCTCCAGTGACTCCCCACAGCCTGCTGGGCCCCAGAGCCAGAGGCCAGGCCCTGTTCCAGCCCCAGTGGATTTTCAGTAGCTTTGCAAGGAAGGGACTGCCATGCACGTGTCCCCGTCGAGCACCAGCAATTTTACTCTCTGCAGGGTAGAATTTTTTCCGTTGCCAAGGTGGGGGCACTGCCCAGAGCAGGAAAGGGAGCTCCTCAGCAGAGACTAGCCTGGGATGAGGACACTGTGGTGCAGAAGAAAATCTGCCTGGCCGTGGTGCTTAAAGCTGCCACGCTCGGCCAGAGGAAGCCCCCAGCTGCATGTTTCCACAGTTGGCCAAGGGTGACCCAGGCCATGGACATGGAGTCCAGACAGCCCGGGCACGGTCGCTTGCTTGTGTATTCAACTAGCCTGACTGCACAGGATCTGTCAGAGCCGTCCCTGTGTGCTGGGCCCCGGGTTATCTTCCATCCCTGTCTCCTGTCTCGTTGAACCTCTGTTGGGCCCATCCACAATGGGCGGGACTGGTTTTACGGCAGAACCTTCTAGAATGAGGGCATTGTGGGGAGCAGGGCCTCTGGCTGGCTGGGGTTTTGTTCTGTCTTCACCACTCTGCAGCTCTGTGATTTGGGGACGAGCACTAATCACCCTGTGCCTCAGTTTCCTCGTCTGTATAATGGGGTAATACCAGCTCCTGCCTGTTTCTCTGCTTATTTGTTGTCCTGAGAATGACATGACTTAGCAGGTGTGAGGCACCAGGGCAGCACCTGGGTACAAAGCTCCCCAGCCACATTCATGGCCACAGCTGTCACCGTCACCACCTCACTCCCCAGGGTGGTGGGAGCGCTCTCTGTGGCTGAGAAGGAGGGGGTTCAGGAGATGAGGAAGGCGGGAAAGGTGGAACTTGGCCCAGGGGAGGCCAGGATAAGGGGCTGCCCCGCCCTGGCATCCTGCAGGCTGGGGCAACTCGGCTTTCCCGGGTCCATTCCCAAAGGAGCCCACTGTGTGCCAGGGTGGGCTCAGAGGACCTGCTGGTGAGGGGCCCTGCATAGGGTTCGGCAGGACAGCCCCACTGCCCGGTAGCTCATAGCACAGGAAGGACCCCCCCGTCAGTGGTCGCTTACGGCGCAGGAAGGACCCCCGTCAGTGCCTCACTGCTGTGATCACGCCCTTTCCTTTGAGTTCTCCTTCTATGGATGATGAACCACAAAATACTCTCTTATTTAGGGACAAAGTTCAGGCTTTTTCGAGCTAAAGAGAGGATTTTCAAGCCCCGTGCATGGTCTCTGGCTACAAGCATTGGCAAAACCCACTCATCATGCCCTTTCCGTCCCCTCGTCACCCAGCTCTTCCCGGGTTGGCCGGTAGCTGGGCCAGTGGCTCCCTGCACAAAACCCCTCCGCGTGGCCTTTCCTTTTTATTTTCCAGATGAAGCCATCAGGCTCCCAGAATTGCTGCCTTTGAGAAGGCAGGGCAGATGCAGCTTGTGGAGGGATAGGGTCCAGCTCTCTACCCGCCGTGGGGGAAACCGCCGAGTTGCTGAGTTGAGCAAGCAGGGTGAGGCCTCCATGATCTTTACCTGGAGCCTCAAACTTGTTTAAGATCAGGAGGAGGCAGGAGTGGGGAGAAGATCAGGAGGAGGCAGGAGTGGGGAGCCGGGACTCACTCACCTGGAAATGGACACATGGCCGGAGTTTCAGAGCAGCCAAAGAATCCCAGCTACCTGAGGATCTTCAGGGTATAGAAGAAAATGTCATCAAGCCATGGGCATGAGAGAGGAGAGCATGTCCTTATTCTTCTCTTCCTTTAATTGTAATAATTGAAGAAATTTGAGACAGGAAGGGACCTTGGGGGATCTCACTCAGGGGTCCTGGTCTGCGTGAGGAGAGGCTGGGCCCAGGCGGCTGTGCTGAGTCCTGCGAGCGCCTCCCATTCCTCCCGCTCTTTCCTTCCCCCGGGTCTGCAGGGCCCCTCTGTGTCCCACACAGTAAGGGGGAGACCCAGGCGCGTCTGCAGGGTGGAGGTCAGCAGGAGAACATGTCTGCGATGCACGGAGGGACACGGTGGGGGCCAGGCGTGGCGGGGATGGGCGCAGCCTCCCACACCCTCTGCCTGGAAGGGTCCCACGGGACTGAGTTCCAACAGGAAGCCCCCCTGGCTCTCCAGGGAGACAGTTTCGAGGTTGTTTATCTTGAGCCTGAATTGATCTGTTTGATGAAGCAAATCCTAAATTGAAGGCCTGGGGCTTCCTTGGCCCCACCCCACCCCCAGGCAGGGTCAGGGAGGCCCCCACAGCCTGAGTCCTGGCCGCTCACTGCGGCTGCCTTGTGCCCTGTCCAGGGTCACGTCCTGGCCCAGAAGCCTCGTCCAGGCCTCCCCTGAGGAAGAGGCAGGCCGGGTCCTGCTGGCGTCTCCCTGTGACACTCAACATGGGGACAGTGGGGACCTCACCTGGGTCGAGGGTGTCTGTGAGGCTGGATGCCAGCTGTGGAGACAGCAGAGAGCTCGAGGCGTCTTGCAAGCAGGGCCTTTGTGATGCCTCGGGCCCCACTGGGTATGGCCTCCCAGTTACATAAACGCAGGCAGTGTTCCCTTTGCTCCCTGCCTGCCTGGCTGACCCCACCTCGTTCTCACCACTGGAGGCAGGTTATTCCCATTTTACAGAAGAGGAAATTTAGACTTGGACAGACCAGGGCTGAGTCAGCCTGCATCACTCTGAGTGATGGGTCCGGCTGCCATGGAAGCCAGCTGCATGTGAGCCACGGGGACCAGCCAAGGTCGTGCTCTGAGCAGGGAGGACTTGGGAACACAATGTCCTGGGCCGCCTGCGCCAGCCGAGAGCTTGATGACATGTTCCCGGGGCAAGAACTCCCCCACCTTGCCCTCTCTCAGATGACACACGTTAGAAGGAAAGGAGGCCACAAGTCATGAAACAAGCTGCAAAATTTCCTTATGTTTTGCTTTTCATACTTAGAAATTAGACAAACCTGGTAACTTATAAATTTAGTTGAATATTTTTTTTAAGACACAAGGTCTCACTCTGTTGTCCACGCTGGAGTGTGGTGGTGCAATCGCTGCAGCTCCTGGGTGCAGGAGATCCCCCCGCCTCAGATTCCCAAGTAGCTGGGACCACAGGCGTGTGCCACCGTGCCTGGCCTGGCACATTTTGCATTCCCATTGGAAGTTAGAGGGAGCCTCCCCTCCGTGTCTCATGTAAGTCGAGATTCCTGTGCCGGTGGCACCTGACGGCTGCCAGAGGTTCTGTTCGCAGACTCCATTCTGCCTCTTTGTTCCTGCCACCCTGAGACTGTGTGGGCCAAGGGCTCTTCACCGCTTGGACTTCAGAAGTAAGAGGCAGAAACTTCACCAGCAGAGGCTGAGAAATAGGGAATTAATAGACAGTCCTTGGTATAAGATGATGTGATGGGTTCTTGTGTACAGAACGGGAGACTTTGTTGGGTGGCGTTGTCCATGAGCAGCTCTTTCCCGGAGTGCTGGCCCCTTCCCTCACTGCAAAGAGAAACGAGTCCCCCTCGTCTCAGCTGCAGTGTTCAGTTTAATTTCATGCTCTCAGGGCTGAGGAGAAATCCCTCTGGGTTTGAAACCTTCCTGTGAAATCTCTGCAAAATGTGGCTGTTGTTCCGACATCCTGCTTCTGCCTGGAGCGACTTCTGAATCCATTACCCGAGTCTTCACTATCGACACTTACTCATTTTTAAAAATTAATTATTTTTTAAAATTATACTTTAAGTTCTAGGGTACATGTGCACAACGTGAAGGTTACATATGTTTACATGTGCCATATTGGTGTGCTGCACCTGTTAACTTGTCATTTACATTACTTACTCATTTTTAAAGGCTCAGGTCAAATATCACCTGCTACTTGGACTGGCCTTGGTCTCCCCAGCTGACGTTGGTTTCTGTACTGACCACATGCACACAGCTGGCACTGGGCCCTGTCCGAGGCTCTGGGCTCAGCTCACTGTAGGGGCTTGCACAGAATAACTCCGTCCATCTGTTGCAGAGGTCGCGGTGCATGACCTTACACGTACCTCATGCATACGCGTGTCTTTGCAGTGGAGTGTAACTTCCTGTGTCTTTTGCAGGGTCTGCTACATAGATGGTTCTCTGCAAATGTTGGGCAAATATTGGGCAAATGTTGGTGGATTGATTGCTTGGTGTGTGGTGGCCACCTCCATCACTTCCTGGCCCTGGGTTGGGTCCTGGGCCCACCTGTGGATGTCAGCTCTGCTCACAATCTGCAGTGGCCTCATTTCACCCACCAGATGGAGACTGAGGTCCTTTGCAGGCTCCCAGGGCGCTTGGGGACCCATTTGCCATTGGCCTGGCCTGGAGTGGCTGAGTCGCCCCTGTGCCATGGCCACCAGTGGCCTCTGTGGAGTCCTGTCCGGGGGCAGAGGCACTGGACACCTGCCTCAGGTTCCTCAGTGGAACCTCCATCCCCTCAGGGTAGGGGCTCCTGGGGCAGATGTGGTCGGGGAGAGGGAGGGGCGAGGGAGGGGCCAGAAAGGAAAGTGACACTCAGCACATTTCAGTCACACATTTTCTCTTCAGACCTTGAAGAAACATGGCTTCTGAAACTTATGACGGTGCCTCTTCCTGCGTCTGCTCGATGCAGATGGTGAAGCTGATTGTCTACGGCCAGGATTGACCTGGTCCTGCTGTGGACGTTTAAGGGATTCCTATTATGAACAAATGACTCAAACATCTGCCAGAATTCAGTGCAGCCTGGGGAAGAAAGGTAAGCTGGGTTTTGCAGAAAGGGTGGCCCCTTCTCCTCATCCTCCAAAGGGCCTGGTCCCCCTGTGGAGTGACACATTAGAGGGAGGCCCCAGGGAGGAACCTGCACCCGGTGGGTTGCCCTGGCCAGTAGCCTTCCTCCCCGCCCCCCACTGCCCACAGCAGCTTGAAGGAAGCCCTCCGAGCCCCTGTGCGCCCATGAGTCCTGCACTGTTCTCTGCCCCCAAACACCCCGTGCCTCACCACAGTGGCCTAAAATCCAGTCCCAGTAAGGAGGTGTCCTACAGGGTACTGGCTGTAACCCTAAGAGAGTGCCAGGACAATGTCACCCGGGGGCCTGAGCCCACCAGGAGCCCACCCTTGTGGGCTCCCCACACTCAAGTCCCTGGACCCCAAGCCAACACGACCTCCTCCTTTTCTAAACCTTCTCAATGCTTCCATGGAACCTCTGAAAGCCATGGAAACCCGTACTCAACCCAGCAAAGCCCATGGGACCTCCTGGCTCTCCATGAAGCTAAGGTGTCTGCAGGGGCTGGACACTGCCTGGGAGCGGGATGTCCACCCCGGAGTGGCCACACTTTCCCATGTGTCTCCTTTTTGATTCTTCCACAGCCCAAAGGCAGGAGCAGATGGAAGCCCTACCCAGCCTGCAGGGGCAGGAGGGACCAGCACATGCCCCAGGATACATCGTGCCCCTGAGAGAAGACCCAGGTGGCTCCTGGAGCCAGGGGCTGAGGGTGAAGGGCACCCTGGGCCAGGGAGAGACATTCAGAGTACAAATGCAATCTCGGGTGTGACCTTGAGGACACAGAAACCAGTTGTGGAGGACACTGAAGATAAGGACCCAGAAGCCAGAGGCTTCATACATGAACCCTCCATGGATACTGAAGAGGAATATTCAGGCTTTCCCTGGATGGGACCACGGGCAGCTCTGAGCAGGAGGAGGTGCAGGGTCTGTAAAGCACATCACAGAAGGGAGGGTGCAGTGTCAGAGACATCTGCCATCGGGAACCAGAAAGCACACACGTGCACACACCACACAAGCTTATATGCACATACAGCACACACTCCACACATCACATACATGTATCACACATGCATAATCCCATACACAGCACACACTACAGACATGCATCACATATGCACACAACACATGCATACACAGATACTCTACACACACACATCATACATGCACACCCATACAACACATTCTCCACACAATGCATCACACATGCACACACAACACACACATTCTCCACACACCACACACATGCATCACATATACATACCTGTACACATATACAACACATACATGCACACATACTCCACACACCAGACACCACACACGTATACACACATGCAACACTTCACACACAACACACATCATACACATCACACATGCATAAACCCATACACACAGCATACACCACAGACATGCATCACAAACATATATGCACACACATAACACATGCATACACAGATACTCTACACACCACACACACATACAAGCTTATATGCACACACAGCACACACATATGCACACATACTCCACACACCAAACACATGCATAAACCCATACACACACAGCACACACTACAGAGATGCATCACACACACATGCACACAAACACGTGCATACACACTATACACCACAATCATATATGCACACCCATACAACACATTCTCCACACACAATGCATCACACACGCACACACTCCACACACATGCATCACACATGTACACACACCAGACACCACACATCACACAGGTATACACACATGCAACACTTCACACACACCACACATACACCACACATGCATAAACCCATAGACACACAGCACACACCACAGACATGCATCACACACAACACATGCATACACACTCTACACACCACACACATCATATATGCACACCCATACAACATTCTCCACACACAATGCATCACACATACACAACACACACATTCTCCACACACCACACACGTATCACACATACATTCTCCACACACAATGCATCACACATGCACACACAACACACATTCTCCACACATACATGCACACACATACTCCACACACCAGACACCACACGTATACACACAAGCAACACACTTCACACACCATACACATGCATCACACATGCATAAACCCAGCACACACCACAGACATGCATCTCACACATGCACACACACAACACATGCATACACACAGATACTCTGCACACCACATACACATCATACATGCACACCCAAACAACACACATTCTCCACACACCACATACACCACACACATGCATCACACATACATATGTATGCGCACACATCCAATGCGGCTTCTGGGAGGAAGAAGTGATGATATCCAGAAAGCCACCTGGTATGACCCCAACTCCATCCCCGAGGCTCAGGGAAGGATGGAAAACTTCAGCAAGCATTGTCTGTGCAACCCCCAAACTTACCCCTCTTATTTCTATGTCTCCCAACACAGCTTATTCTGAGGCAAAGGGATACTATCAGTGACTTACATTTTAGTGAGAATTTTAGCACTAAGATTTTAAACAAGACTTTCCACTGCCCTCTTCTAATATAGCGAGTCTTTTGTAATGTGGCTTCATCATGTAATGGGGAATTTATAGCTCGTGTAACTTCACTTTCCATCTAGTTTAAAAAGTCAACATAATGCTGTAAGTGTAAGATAAAGGAGAAATAAAGTGAAGGAAATTTATAATATATAACATGCACTTTAATATGACCGTGATCATTGACAACTGCCTAGAAGGTTGGTTACGGTTGCCTAATGCCTGCTAATGAAGATAAAAACGAAGTAAAGCAGTTGTCAACAAAACAGTCTCAATGCTTTTTATTTCCAGTTCCTATTTTGAAGGAGTGACTAAGACATCCTGAGCAGGGTTTTGGAAGGTGTAGTGATCTTTGTGCGACATGGAAAACCTTGGTATAAAGCCCCTGTGAAATTAAATAATTCAGACCTAAAGCTGTTGAAAGTTAAGATCATTTTGCACCTTGAGAGGAGCGTGGCTGTGTGGCCTGAGTCACATGGTGTGAAGCTGCAACTTCTTTGATTCGAGGTCAAATCTCTTCCTCATTCTTGTCCTGTAAATGATTAGGAAGGACTGAATGGCACCAGAGGTGAGACCCCCTCGAGAGGATGACCCCTCCTTGTGGAAAGTTAAAGCGAGTTTCCTTGGAATGTAGCAAGCTGTGAGCAATCAAGTGAAATAGATTTAACCTGTGACCTCCTTGGAAAAGGCCGCAGCCCTGTTATACTTCTGTCTCTACTTATAACATGAAACTTTAACTTCTCACTTTAAAAGCAGAGCCCATTCGTCTAGAGTCTGTGTTTCCCAGGTGACGACCCTCAAGCTTTGCACTCAAACTCTATACTGAATCACCTTTTCCAAATTTCGTGATTAAAGATTGACATTTTGCTAACCACAAAGGGATGTGAAGTGGGCCTCCAGTGATCCCTGTTACATCACCAACAACCAGAGCCATGCTGTCAACACACACGGTGTGGGCTCACCTGGCCTCGCTGGAGTCAACAGGGACCTATGGGAAGGACCTTCTCAGGTCCGAACCTCCCAGCTTGTTGAAGTTCTGACTTTTATTTGAGCCACACAAATTGCCAACTCAATAGGGTTGGAAGACCTACTGCAAGTTTGGAGTTTTGTTTGTTATTCTTCAGGGATTCTGCTGACCCCAGATTCAAGACTGATTTTTTTTTTTTTTTTTTTTCCAGAGGTTAAGGTTCTGTTTTGAATTACTCATTAGAGTTTCTAGAACTTTTTCTCCCATTTGAAATTTTGGTCAGGGAGAAAACAGTTTCTCTTTGAAAGGAGAAATTGAAGCTTTGTGGATTGAGCAAAATGTGTAATGTTCAAAACTGGCCAGATTCTGAAGGCCGATTCAATAAACAAATCTAAACTTTCTTCTTGAGTGACCAGAATTATAAAAGGTCCTCTAGGAGGACGAGGTAAGTCCCAGAAGGGAAGGACAGTGTTCCTCCGAACTGAAAAAGGCCCCGAATGATAGTCACGTGTGCCGCGTTAATAAACAATGAAGATGCTTTTATGAGAAAGGCTGCATTACAGGCTCGTATGGCCCCAGACAGACTCGCTGCAGCTGCAGAGGGAACCATCACAAAGACTGAACGTCATGTCCCGAACCCAGATGAATCAGATAATGACCTTAAATTAAATACCGATATGAAAACCCAATAACCAAACTTTCAGATCCAACACCCTCTCCACACAGTTGGTTAAGCAACTGGTGTGGGTCTTGGGGAACTTGGCGGAAGAAGCTGTTAATCAGTCGTTGGCTGGGTTCTAGCCATTAATGGAGGATGCAGCTGTGTAGCCTGACCCAGGTCACCACGTCACTTCCTTCATGTGGCTCCAGGCTCGGCCTATACCCCGTCAGTTCTGCATAGCTTGGCACATGGCCCTAGCCATGGGAGACAACGTCCTAGGAATGAACCTTCCTAGGTATGTGGGACTAAGCCCCTACACATACAGAGATCCCAACCATCTGCGTTCAGCTACTAAGCCTTCTTCAAAAGATCATGTTTTGATGATGTGATCAAAACATGGAGATGTGAAATTAATCCAAATCGAAAGCTGTCAGAACTATACCTGATTTTGAGCCTTGAGAGGAATGTGGCTATGGGGCCTGTGTCTCATGGCGTGGAGCTGCACCTTCTGCTGCTTTATTCCGGGTCACATCTCTCCCTCATTCCTGTCCTGTAATGATTAGGAAAGACTGAATAGCACCAGAAGTGAGACCCCCCTCAAGACCATTACCCTTCTTTATGGAATGTTAAAACAATCTTAAAGTATAGCGAGCTATGACCAATCAAGTCCAATCACTATAACCTATGTCCTGATCTTGTTGGAAAAGGCTGCAACCTGTCAAACCTCTGCCTCTGACTATGTAAATGAGACTTTAACTCTCCATTTTGGGAGTCTGTGTTTCCTATGTGGCTATCCTCAAACTTCGTGTTCAAATAAACTCTACACTTCATCATATTTTTGGATTCTCAGTATTTAAGCTTGAGCACTGCAAAGACACATAATGATGTTTATATGCTGTCAGCATTCTATGGAAGTTTAATGCAATTAAAATTGTGAAAAGGGCCAGGTGCAGTGACTCATGCCTGTAATCCCAGCACATTGTGAGGCTGAGGTGGGCAGATCATCTGAGGCCAGGAGACAGACACCAGTTTGGCCAACATGGTGAAACCCCATCTTACTAAAAATACAAAAATTAGCTGGTGTGGTGGCACACACCTGTAATCCAAGCTACTAGGGAGGCTGAGGCAGGAGAATTGCTTGAACCTGGGAGGTAGAGGTTGCAGTGAGCCGAGATCGTGCCACTGCACTCCAGTCTGGGCGACAGAGTGAGACTCCATCTCAAAAAGAAAAAAAAAAAAAGTGAAAAGACTTTTTGTCTCAGTGCACATTACAACTACTCAAACTAGTTATGGGTCTATTTTTCTTACCGTTTTTTCAGCTTCTGCAGGAGGTGGCTGCCCTGTGCTGGTCAGGATGTCAAGCACCTTGGGACTCTGCCCATTAAACCACAGGGGATTTCCTCGTTATTGCGACAATTCCATCCCCAGAAATAGTCCACGTGCCTGAGGTGGCGGCCGTCTCTTCCTAGGGAGACTGTCGGAGCTTCCTTTTAAACAGACTCTGCTGTCTCTGTGAAGACGTTCAGGTGCTGAGCACGCGGAGGGCGGGGGTTGGGGGGACATGAGACGGCAGGCAGCTCTCTAGAGCCCTTTTCACACGTGGGTCGTCACCCACCGACTTTGGATCTCTGCGAGTGGGAACTGCACAGGCCGGGATGTTGTCTGGGGTCATTGCACCGAAGTGTTCCATGTGCAATGTGGTTAGAATCTTGTCACCCTGGGAACTGGAAGGTCTTTAAGATCGTGGCACCCCACCCCTCCATCATGCGGATAGGGGACCTCAGGCCCTCAGGGGGATGAGAAGGATCAGGCTTTGGGAGAGATTAAGGAGAGTCAAGTGCAAAATTCAGGGTCTCTGGAGCCCTGGGGTGGAGCCTCACCCTCATCCCGGCCCCGGCGTCCTCAGCCTGTGGGCACCCAACTGCTCCGACGCAGCAACTGG